CAGGCTAAATTGACCGCGCGGCTGCGATGAAAGCGGTAATTTTCAACCGCGGAAAATCCTGCCCGACGCTGAAGAGTAAATTGTATTTTTTTTTTGTTTGCGCGCGTTCGGGCAGACACACGAATACGCCAACGGCGAATTACCGCGACGAAGTGATAATCTCGCATCTCGAGCTGGCGCGACTATCTCGCTTATACCGCGTTCCTCCGTTTGAATCAACATTGTGAAATTATCGAGATCGTTATTCGTGTTGAAGTTGAAAATTCTAAAGATCCCGCGCTTCAACGACGATATCAGACTATTAGCACGAAGATGCGTTAAAATCCGTACGCCCTGTTTCCCCGGTTTTCCTTTGATATCTCTGGATACGAATAATTTATCACCTGCGCCGCGGAACCCATCCGCGTGGAAATGTATCAGGTGCTCGGGCATTCCCTTTTTCCCTGTCTACCATCGCGCGGTCAATTAATAGGAGTCATTTATAAGAGCAAACCGGGGAATCTGGGAATCCGCGATCCGCCCGGAGGCAATAAATCTCAAGTCGCCGAGAGGCGGCATGGTAGCGGAACCCCTCTTGTAAGCTGGTTGTATTGTAGCTATTACCGAGCCATGCATCACTAGGTAACAACCGCACGATTCGCCGTCTCCCTCATTCCGACAGCGAAACATCTTCCCCTCCTCTCCTTCTCTCTTCCTCTCTCGGGGAAAGAGCGCTAGGACGTCGTCGTAGGAAAGCGCAGGAAAACGCGCGGCGCGCGTTTGGGAAGCTGCGCAGCTGATATCGGACCACCCAGGTTATGCCCTGGATACCTTCTGGTCCGTGGAACGTTCCGTAGGGGAAAACATTACGTCCGATTCACGCACGAAGCGCGATGTTATGGCAGGAATGATGAACGATCGCTGTCGTTAATGAGCGAATCGCGTCTCGCGGCAACGAGTGTTTCGGTGCTCGTAGCCGAAAAAGCTGAATAAAAGCGTCCGTTTGTAATTTTAGCGACTCTCCTCTCTTAAAATTATGCGACAACGTGAAACTCGCGGCTGACAAAAAATATTATCCAACGACAAATAAATCTTCTTCTAAATAGACGCTGTGCTGCCGTCGCGATTTTTTTTGAATCTCGAAGCGAAGACACGCTGTGGACATATTAAAGCGTGAAAATATATATTAAATCTTTTTTTGCGGCGATACAAAAAGCCAGAATCAACGACGATATCTTGGCACTTTCGAAAACATTTGCGATCATTCAATCATTCATTTGACCTGTACGATACAACGCGAAGCAGACGGTGAGAAAACAACGGGCGATACTTGGCGCGCGTAAAACAGAGGATCGCGAGGAAAAAACGATGGGGTAGGAAAATGCACGACTGAGGGAGAAGACGGAGAGAAAAGGAGAGAGAAACGGGAACAGAATATATACGCGCCGTGGTACAGCACAGTCTCTCGCTCTCTCTTTCTCTCTCTCTCGCCGGACAACCGACAGTTGGAGGAACGGGGTGGCTGTCGAGGAGGGTAGTACCTGCCTACTCCTCGCACCCTCGCTTGGCGCTATAGTAACAACACGGGGAAACATAGGGAAATCAATATGGCTTCCGTTGCCCTCATCCCTCTCGCGTGCGGCCCTCGCAGCCGGCGTCGTCTCTCGCTCTCGTCCGATTTTCTCGCTCCTCTCTCGCTACCACGGAATTACGTCTCCCCCCCCGGGCTCCCTCGCTTCGCCCATCTCTGTCTTTCCCATCCTCTCCTTCTCTCTTGCTCCGTTTCTTTCTCTCTATCTCTCTCTAGCACTCGACGCGGACGGGTGAACCCATTATAAGGGGGTGTTACTCCGGGCCAATCCCCAACCATCCGGAGAGAGAAACCGGAGAAGCGAGAGTCCAAGAAGGGCGCATGTGCGTTGCTAGGGCCACCGGATGGGTCGCGCGATGCGATGCGATGCGATGCGATGTGGTTGCGACGCGTTGTAATGCCGCGTGTAACGTATATCAGGTATACTGAAAATATTTTAAAATGTATTTACGAAGCACGTACGCCAATGTAATTTGCACTGTTATATAATAAATTTGTCCAATGGTGTAGCAATCGTCTAAAATGTATTTCTTTAGCGAAGAAAATAATCGAATAAGAATAACAACTGAATAAAATAATGTCCTCTTTGTGTTACTCTTTGATATTTCTATTAAAATCAAAAGTAGAGATATACTTTAATCATTTTGTATAATTTTACGAGATGTCTTGGGATACAATGTCAAAATTTCCAAAAATCATACATAAAAATACCATTGTTAGCGTTACGCAAATTGTATCGCATTGATAATAAAAAGTAATTATATTTATAATGCAATATTATTGATTTTCTGTGTTTAATATGTGTTTAATGTATATATGTACATATATATAATGTGAAACAATTGTAAGAAAATTTATAATTTTAATTTTAAAAAAATATGTATATGTAGAAATGTATCGTATATTAATGTAATTTCTAAAAAACATCTATCTTATAATATATAAAAGTTAAAATCTAAATTCTCTCTCTCTCTTATAAAAAGCTCAAGATATCATGGATGGCTCTCTGACGGCAAACCATGAAACTCGAAATCAGAACTTGCATGTCGGTAACACGGTATCCATGTGTACAGAAGGTAAAGCTCTCACAAGCGATAACTGAAATTCATGCCGAAATTTGAATAGTAACGTCGCAATTGTATATACTTGTGAATAGACTTATATTTATGAAAACATTATAAGAAAAAAAAAATTATTCTTATATTTCGATGCAAAATGATGGTCCACGTTGTTACCACAGTACGCGAGAAATCTCAGCTGATTTCAAGCTGAATTCGCCTCCACCTTTCAATCAATTCGTTCCCCAAGTACCCCCAGAACACTCATCCTCCGCAGCAGATCAATTCAAGAATCGTGAAGAAGAATCCCGACAATTCGTAAAGAGCTGAGATATCTATATTTAAAGCTTTCTTTGACGGTGCATGTTTCTCATTCAGTTGGCGGCGGGTCGAGCTGCACTGTTGCGGGAAACATCCCCCCATCATTTTATCACACCTTCTCTTTGTGTGAATCCAGCACCGTTAGCCTTCGTTATATCTTACATACCACTTGGAATTTATTCTTCTCACGTTGGTCTACTCTAGTTGATTAATAGGAGAGAAGAGACATCAGGAAAGGTCGTGGAAAAGTCGCATCTTGGGTACACACTATCAGGAGTCTTGAAAGAGAGAGAGAGAGATCCTTTCCCGTTTTATAAAGTTTCTTCTGCTCCTTTTTCAGACTATATATCGATAATTCTGAATCTTTATTCTAGAGAAAAGTACCACAGTACAGAAGAACGCGCGATTCATTAATCACGGAGCTTATGAAGATTTTTTTAACTGGTGAACCTTGGAGAACTTCATTTTATCTAAATTTATATATTTCTTAAACACTCGTAATTTAACGTTATTTAATCAATTATTCATCAACACATCGATCAAGGAGGGAAGAAAGCCATTCCATTTAGCTCCTGAATTTTATCTCCATTAGATGATGACGATGATGATGTTTGTACGTGCGTGCGTTGTATATATATGTGTGTGTGTGTATATGTGTATGTATGTGCATGTGTGCGTGCATATATATACAGCTTCTTTAAATTCTCGTAGATTGTCTTTCCTCGTACAACTTTTCTTTATTTCTTTCCTGTCATTATAGAGGCTACTGTGAACGAGGATTAACGAGAAAGAGAGAGAGGCGCACAATTTTCTTTCAAATATTATATACATTAGAGAGAAGCTTTCCTTGTAACGATTCTTTGACAGCTCAAACCATGGTTCACCGAGTGCCTGGTACGAGTCTTAAGAGAACAAATTGACTGAAAGATTAAGAGGACGAACTACATATACTGTTCCAGTCGACGAAACACTGCATCGAATAATGTCCATCGCCCGTAACATTCACTGAGTAGCATCAGACCACCTTATTAAATTACATTTAAAACCTTTTATAAAGGATATGATACCTACATAATCGCTTGCGAGAAAACTCGATCAAATATACAGAAGAAATTATGTTCTATTGTACGTGTTTTTACAATCTGCCCTGTGTCTAACAAAATCAATATAATATCAGAAACAAGTTTATATGCAAATTATACATCAAAATAATAAGAAATAATAAAAATTGAAGAATCAAATTACAAATATTTAATACAATTTTATCCTAGCGGAACATCAAGTAAATAAACTCGCAAAGAGAAATAGAATCAATCAAAAATTCGTAGTTATCCTGAATATCCTCTTTTACCGGTTCTGTATCACGTATGGTAAGTGATAACAATTGTTATAATCCAATGATATCTGTCATCGAGCAATTATTATTCGAAATGTATAAAGTCATTTCCTGAATATTAATAATATGATTAACTGATCTCTATTAAAATAATATCAAAGGAAAAGATGAGAAATTGCAGTCGGTAAAACAGACCATATCATAGACTAAGACTTGCCTGCACCCTTGAGGTATCATAGAGTTGCGGTACGTTGGTATCACACAACAGGCTGCGGATATCAACGGAAAATGGCCTTACCAACCTCGTCGGTAAGGGAGTTCTCTCAGATCATAAAGTAACAGGATTTCACGAGAAAAATTCAAAATTTTCAATAATCTATTCTACCTTCATATTTCACCTTTATATTAAAAAAAAATTCTACTTAATATATTTTTTAGTTGTCGGATAAAAACAATTAAAAATACAAATGTTATAAAATTACATCTATATTTATTTATTTCACGTGTGCTTTAATTAATTTAAAATTTCTTCTTTTTTAGATATTTACATGTTGTGTCTATTTATTACTGTTAATCTGTTTAATTTTAAAGGCTTTTGCGAATAAAATATAGCAAATAATGGAATATTTTCGCGCTTGAATAATAACGTTAGAAGGTCGTGTTTATCATCACGCGTCCTCATATGAAATGATGTACAAGCGAATAGATATGCCAGGATATATACAAGCAGGACTTTCAGTTGTCTGTTGAAGTATTGTCGTAACGGATCGTTCGGATTAAAGCGACTACATTAATCCAGGTAATGTCGATGTGAAAGTGAATTTTATTACAAAAAATAGTGAAGGATAATCGATTTAATAGTATATCGAATAAATTGAGAGAGATTAATAGTAATCATAATATTCTTCGTGATGGAATAATTAGTTTTAAACACAATGTATGTAGCGTAGACTTTAAATTCTATTTTTTCACAAATGTATATGTAATACAAAAAAAAGAGAGATGAGCGATAATAAACGTACTTGTGCTTTTTTTTGCATGATTTAAATAAGAAATTTTGCAAATTTTTAGTACTTGTATAAATTAAAAATTTGATTTCACTGTATAAATATAAATGTATTCATTTTTTTCCATTTAAATAATTTAAACAGTGTTGTGATGCAAATTATTGTTATGTAAGAGTGTTGTGACGCAAAAATATTGACGCGAGCAAAAACTTATAGAATATCTTATGGAAAATATGCAAAATGACAGATAACAAAAAATCTTGAATTAGGGCGATACAATCTTGTAAATATCATGACATATATATTATCATAACAATCCATTTTAGGTCGAAGTATTCGCGTTAAGAAGAGGGATACACCGACGCTAACAAGATAAAAATCATGGCATTGACGTTAGCGCTACCGTTAATGGGTCTAGATCCGGAATGCTTTTCCACATTGAGCATGAAGCTTCTTAAGCTCGAGAACGAACAGAACTCGAGAAATTCACTCGAATCCGGACGGGTTTCTCCAAGTACCGGAAGCGAGTCCAGCGGTATCAGCAGTCTCGCACTGTCCAGCGAATCCGCGTCAGCCGAATTAACGCCGATTTCATCGAGACCGGAGACTCCCGTCAGAGCGCCGAACAAGGAGAAGGTAAACATCACGTGCGTTGCCGAATAATTCAGAACCGATATAAAAAGGGATTGCCGGAATCCCGTACCGAAAGAGAGAGGAAGATAGGGAGAATAAAAAAATCTCGGAGAAATTATTTTTCTGAAGAGTATTTGCTTAATCGAAAAAAGATGATGCGTGTGCAATTTATAACGTTATTGATATTGACACATGTGTCTCTCAAAGAATTACTTTTCCAAGGAATATATGTTTATATTTCGAAAAAAGATAATATGCGATTATTGTATTTTCAAATTATTAATATTGGCGCACGACATCTTTCCATTACTTATTGTACAGTCTTTTTCATAATGATTATAAGTAAGAAAAAGAGATTTTTTTTAGATACATACACCAATTCGCATAATGCACGGAGGACGTGACATATTGAATTTGGGAGCAAATATCAGGCCATCGTTCAATTGGGAAATAATAGATCGAAAGTTGTCTCGACATGAGATTCAGCATATTATAGCCAATCGTTCAGTATATTATCGACTACGCGAACAACCGCTTAATGATTATTCAGTGGTATGTATGATATAAAATAAAATAACATTAATATTTTATACCCCATATCCTCACCCTTTTTTCTTTGAGAAAAAAATTTCAATACAAAATTAATATGAATAATATATTTAATATAAATAATATAGTATATATTCAATATAAAATTAATATGAGTAATATAATATGTGTGTATATATATTATAGAATATATATACATATATATTATAAAATATATATACATATATATTTTATACGTGTATGTAGAAATTGTGTGTGTGTATATATTATTTTCTATAGTTTAAAAACGTTATATGTGTATTTATATAATTAATAATCTTTTTTAATATTATTAAGTTTTTAATATTATATTATATTTAAAGTGAAATTCTGTTTTATAGAAACGCTGCGACGAATGTGGATTTTGCGAACAATCATGCATCTTTTAATCGAGGTGACCATAAAATAATTAACGTGACAATAATGCCCAACGTGCGACATCGTGGACAACTAAACTGTGATAGATCGAATAAGCGGCAGCCGGAAACGGAGACGTATCATAAATCGAGCGTGTATAGATGTATATAAGATTATGTATAGATCTAAATATTTAGAAGGGGACGCGACATATTTCGCAACATGAAACGTGAATATGATAATAATTCATATCATTTACAATTATATTAACAACTTTGTTTATTACTCGTATATTGAGGAAGATATCTAGTTAAGTTAGAGAAATTCGAGTGTATATATGTATATTTAAATGATATACGTTCCTCTACCGGATACGGGCTGCAATGATCTTCCTATTCTTATTATAAGAGAGTGATGAAATTAAGATAAGAGCTGAAGTGAATTTTACGTGAATCAGAATAAAAATACGTCAGGATAATCTATAATGTTTCTATAGCGTTTATAATCTTAGATACTATAGTTCTGAATTTTTTTTTTTTTAATTAGATAAAATTAATTCTATCAGCTCGATTCTATGATTCATCTTTGATGACCCCCCACACTCTTATAAAATAGCTTTAACTATATATAGTGCGTATGTACATAATTATACTTCGGACGAATGACGATAGTGGCTGTAAGAATATCGACGCTTTTTATAGTCGTCCGAATGTAAAGTATCGTGTGACTACAATCTGCTTTTTCATCGAACGATCAAACGATATTAGATCCTTTACGCATCATGTGACGATCTTTATAATAATAAATTAGACGATTCAATTGGAAAAAAGATTGCAAGTTTATTGGATTGCAATCATATTTTGAAAAGCAACACGCTGTTCAAAACTTTTCTACATGTATTCTATATGTATCTCTTTATACAAATTTACTAATTTAAAGATATATCTCATTGTCAAGATTGTCATCGACGTAAGTCGATCGTATATCGTTTTACATTTTTTGCAATTGTATGAATAAGTGCCGTTAACGCTTTATGCAGTATCGTTCTAATGACGCACCGATGGACAATATCGCGTAATATAATATCATTTAATATAATATCACGAACGATCGGCAATGTTTATTAAGCGCCCGAAAAAAGAGAGAAAATCAATCCTTACATTTTTCCGGTAAATGTAATACCTGCTACGGAGGATATAATATACAATTCTACGACGGCACATATTGCATATATATATCTTGACCATTGTTTATGAATGCATGATAAACAATTTTTTATATACCTCAATATTGTTGCGCTATTATAATTATACCTATTTTTACACCAAATAAAATTATGTAAAACGCTCGCAAAATGTCAAAGTTATTCTTATTCTTGTAACGTCCTCCATTTTATACATTCGACTTTCGATTTTTAAAGAGACGAGGGGATGGACACTGTAATTTTTCTTCCTAAAATTAGAAATTTCGCACCATAATATATCGTCGCGTGTTGCCAAAATCAACGGGCCCTTCCAGCAGCGATACTTGAGCCGCGTCAAAGATAAGCGGACTCGGCGAATTAGTGTGTAAATTCGCGCGAAAGGCATTAGAGCCGCACAAGGGGATTGATCGCTCGGACCCTCGTGCCTCTGCATTGTTTCAGCTCGAGCGTAACACCCGGCGTGGCGCTGCGGCCGATTCGATCCACAATCGCGCTCGAACGATCAACACTTTGATGGGAACGACCACCGCTTGCGAAACTTGCGTCTGTTCACGCACGTGCATTCTCCAGCTCCTTATCGGACGTGCGACATTCACGGATTTTTCGATATCCGCGCATCCAAAGAAAAGGACGAATCAATTACTAAAAAAAAAAGAAAAAAAAGAAAAAAATTCTCATCATAAAAAAATTATTCTCTACTAACATCCGATGGTATTCATATTTAATAATTTTTATAATTCTGCAAATTACCACCTGTTTTCGCTTAATTATCAATTATTTTGGAGGCGAGTATAGGTTATGTTTATTAGAATAATAGCGAATTTGATATCGAAGTATTACCGAGTTGCTTCTCGTTCAGCGATCGAGATTAAGAATGTTCCTCGTTTAGCGATTTGTCGCGTTCGGGCCCCCGACACTTGCTAAATACGTCACTGGCGTTTATATCGCTTGCGCGTATTTCGCGGGGTGTGCGAGAACCTTTTAGGCCGCACGCGTGTATATACACTAGCGATATATGCACGCGCGCGCGTTGGAAGCGCCCCGTCCGTGCGTGCACGCGCGGATGCGTGGGTGCGTGCAACGCGCGAGAGATGCGCAGGACGACTATTCAGATATTGTTGTTATTGTTGAGGGAACAATCGCCCGTCAATAGGCCGCCTCGGCACAATGTATCTATTCAGGTGCGGTCAGCGGTGCTCAATCGATCAGGATCCACCCTTTGCGAGTCTCGGAAAAAGCCCCGCGTGACCGACGAAGACTGTCAAATGTGCATCACGAAACTTTCCGTTCCAAGATTTATTCAGCCTAAAATCTTAATTACCCACGAATGGGATACTCTTTTGTCTCTTTTCTGTCTTCCGAGGAAAGGAGAGTTACCGCTTGACTTGCGTATTTTTATTTTATACGATATAAAATATATATTTGACGTTATTCTGAGAAGCGAAATAAAATTGTCAAATTAATTTAAATTATATTAAGAGATGATTGGTTTATTGACTAGTAGCTAAAATTATTTTTACGATTCTCGCAATGTATATATATTTTTTAGTATGTATATGTGTTACGTATTGTGTTTATAATAATCATCTTTAACATATTTTCAATAATTTAAGTTATCGTAGCTTAGTGGACGAATTGATACTATGTGTATATAATGTGCGATTGTGTGTACAAAGTGCGAAATTGCATTGTAAGGACTCGAGTCCTCCTGGTCACCTCGGATTATCAATTGAAGCGTGAAATGAATCTTGAACCGCAATGAAACGTATCGGTCTTTGACATCAAATCGTAACCGTTTAGACGTTGTACCAATCATATTGCCTATTACCATTAATTTGTTTAATCTAGTTTTTGGTTTCTGTATCAATATTGTATCAGATTTAAGGATTTTTAAATTAAAAAAAATTTCTCATAACTAAATTTTAATTTCTATATTAAAAGTCAGTATATTAAAAGTTTTTATAAATTTCTAGAAGCTCTCTCACAAGTAAGTACTGTAAAAGAATAAACTTTAATCTCTCTATGCAAGCGATATCTCGGATTGATATGATAAATACCTGGACGCTATCCTCATTTAAATGTTTAAACGAAATAGACTTTTATAACGACTGAATATAGATGAATGTGTCAATTGCCTATGATTCTCTTATTCGATAAGTCAGAGTTTGAATAGTCAAACGGACGACCGTACGTCGTAATGATACATGATCGACTCGCGCGAAGACGCGCTGAAAAGAGACCCGGTCGTCGGCGACGGAGAAAGAGAGGCCGCGAGTGAGAGCCACTGTCGCGAGCGAGGGTACCCGAGTTCCGCGGCTATAGCGATGATTACGTATGCGGGAATCATTGTCGAGTAACGCGCGATGCACATGCAAAGGCCAAAAATCGTCGAAATCAGTCGAGTTCAACATCAGCATTGTACCTGGGCTTTGTCTCTGCCTCATTGTTGTTGGTCGGTGCTCCTCCCCCTTCTCTCTCTCTCTTTCTCTCTCTCTCTCTCTCTCTCTCTCTCTCTTGATAGAATCTACACGTACGCGCGAGCCGCGGCTGCTGTCCCAGGATGGCTTCTATAGCTGGTCCAGTCACGCATCCAGGACCATTCGCTGGTTATGCCGGTTCCGTGGATCGGTATAACCCTTTTACTTTTAAAACGCGCATGTATACATGCCATTGGAAAAAGGACCACGACAAAGCTAGATGGATAAATGTAAATTCGATACTTTTGCCGTGTACTATTGGCATTTCAAATCTTTCCCTCTTTATCTATAATTATGATCATAATTATAATTATAATTATAATCTTTATTTATAAATCAATATCAAAACGATGAAATAAATTAGTTTGGTATTTTGACAAATCTTTTTAAGCGTTTTAAGAGTAGCTTTTGAATTCTGTTGTATATTAAATAATATTACTTTTAAAGATAAGAATACTTATTTCATTAAAATAGAGCAAGTAAATGTAAAATTCATAAATTGTTCGTCAATTCTTAGCAATTTTCGTACGATAACTCGCGCCTCTAATTCAACCCGCACCGCGAGTAAATCCGATCTCACGCATCCGACGCGCGATCGAAACGAAGGAAAAGGAGCCGGCAGGGCGAATCCGTGTCTGCCTTTTTCCACTGTGCATAATACAGGTGCAGGACAGATAGGACAAGATCTCCGCGATGATATTGGAACGAGAATGAGTGAGCGAGAGGGGTAACATCAGCGGCAGAGCAAGGCGAATCCGGCAGAGGAGGAGAGGGGGGGCAACGAAGCGCGGAGGGCGGGGGAAACGAAAGAGAGAAAGAGAGAGAGAGAGAGGGACGGTAAAGAGAGGGGGATAGGAGGAGAAGAGGGCATAGAGCAGCTGAATAGGAAGCGACACAATGGACCTGGGTGGCTGTGGAGGCGTGTTATCAAATGGGTTCCTCATTCACATACTGCGGCCTGAGCTACCTGTGTCTGTCTGTACCGGTGTCTGTCTGTTATACTTATTCATACCGCCCATTGTGTCCTCCACTGTTGAGTCGAGTTCAGTTCAGTTGAGAACGCGATGGAACGTGCCACAATGCACGAATATGGGCTGCGCCGCACCTCCTCCTCTTGCACCCGCTCCTTCTGCACCCTTCCTCGCATCCCGCGTACCTCTTTCTCTCGCTCTCTCTCTCTCTCTCTTTGCCATTTGCCACCCACGGTCCAATCCGCGCGCGCGCGCGCGCGGGATTCGCCGGGGCCGACTGAAAAGAAAATTGCGTCAGGAAATTGTATCCGCGAGAAAACCCGACCGATAATGCCGAGTTCTTGAAGCGTACACGTCGCGAGATTTCTCCGCCTCGGCGACGGCAACGGCGGTCGTCGAATCTTGCCGCCGACTGTCTCGTTAGACGAGCGCGCGAATTTCCGCGGGGAACGATCGATGGCCCCCGCGGATCCCATCCGGAATTCCGGGATGCGCTTGATATTCGCCGGCAATGGGGGGTATTATCGCGACGCGGTACTTGTCAGAGACGATAAAGACAGGCTAATATGACGCGAATGGGAGAAAAGTTCAACGTTACCAACGTCTCCACTAAAAGGATAATCTCATCCCGATAAAGTTTCTCGTGCGATATTACAATGAGAAAATTAAAAAGATACCTTCTTAGAGAATTTAAAGGGACGATAACTTTTTCTCTCGGTCGCAAGATACGTTGCCGAAAAACGACGAACGAGGAGAGGATCTCGAGAAGGGGAAGAAGGAGGCGCGGATGGTTCTCGTCGCGGTCGCGCGCGAC